CTGGTGGCCCATGTGATCTATGGCTCAGGCTGCCTTTCAGACACTCCAAGGCCTCGAACTCCAGACCAGTCAGTTGGCAGGTGGTAGCCTGGTCTGATCTTAGAGGATGGTGCGTTGGAATACATTGATTAAAGAGATGGCGTTAGTATGCAATCTGGGTGCCCAAAGATTGCTCCTCCTTGCAGGGCTCTTTCTGGTGAATTGCCAGAACTTTATTTTTTCCCATATGAAGATACTACATGCTCATTAAAGAAAGTTTGGAAAATATGGAAATGTGGGGGGAGCAGGGGAAACTACCTGTAGCCCCATCATCCAAAGAGGACCACTATCAACGTTTTGATGTATGTCTTATTTTTGTGTAATTGTGATGCACGCATTCAATTTTGTAAACTGCTTTCTAGTCTATGGCAAGCATTTTCCATGTCATTACAGAGCCTTGGTAAATGTTGTTTTAAAAAATAAAGTAGCATGGCCGGCCTTTCACTATCAGAATGTGTATACATGAATTTGGTCATAGACCAGGATGCTTACAGGAGCCAGGCAGGTAGTATAAATGCGCAAAGCATGCTGGGCAGAACACACTAAGGAGCTGGGGTTGGGGAGGGGAGGACTGGATAGGTTGGGTCCACCAGGGAGGCAACTGTTGCTCAGTTGGGGCACAGGCTGGGGCTGTCAGATATTCCCATTCTTTCAGAGAAGCAAAAAATCTGTTTTTTGTTCATGTGGAATTGGTGTTTTGGTTTGTTTTTTCTTTTGAGAAATTTTAAACATTCAGAGAATCATACAGGAAACAACCAGAATTGACAGTTATTAACATTCTCCACACTTCACTCTGCCCAATTTGGGAGCCACTGTCATAAATTGTTGTGTATCCTTCCATCCCATTTTTTACACTTCTCTATAAAGAAGTGCAAATCCATGAGCACCATGTTGTTTTATACGTTTTTAGTCATAATTATCACCTGCAGCTTGCTTTTTCACTCAACCTGTTTATTTATCCATGTAAATATATATATACATATATAATCAATTCAGGGCTGGCAAACTTTTTCTGTAAAAGGTCAGGTAGTAAATAAAATTTAGGTTTTGTGGACTATACTGTCTTGCTGAAACTACTCAACTTTGCTATTTAATAACTAATGTAGCCATAGTTAATCTATAAACAAAAGGTATGGCTGTGTTTCAATAAAACCATATTTACAAAATAGGCCATTAGTCAGATTTGGCCTATGGGTGTAGTTTGCTGACCCCTGCTCTAATTTATTCCCTTTAAGTACTGAATTGTATATTGTCTGTAATATGAAAATACCATATTTTATTTTTGTTTCCTTATAAATGTGTGTGTAGGTTGTTTGCAGTTTTTCTACTGTTTTAACAATGCTGCAGGAAGCATCGTTGTCCATGTTTCCCTGTGTGCATGTGCAAAGGTTTTTCACCAGGACACACATAAATAGAAGTGGAATTGCTGAGGTTTTGTTTTTTTTAACAAAATAAAATAAAATGCTTCAATTAGAATGTGACCAGTTTGTCACCTTTGTGGTAGAATCTCTATAGGAAGCCAGTAATTACTGAGAATCCAATCCAAACCTAGTTCTAGAATTTGAGGTTCAGCTCCATGACAACTAGCAAATGTGAGAGTGCATGAATTCAAACATGAAAGAGTTGGAGAATGGTCTGGGAGAGTGTGGCTTTCATGAGAAATGCACAGCTGATTTCCTCAGAAGACAAAAGAGATGAAGATGGGAAAAAACTCAGTTTTTCACATGTACTAGTCATGCAAACAGTGGTGGTTAACATTGGCATGACAAAGTCTAGCTGAAAAGTTATGCAGGATGAAGGTGGTGAGCCGCTGACCCGTGGTTGCTTTTTCCTGGCAATGCTGTGAATTCCTTTCAAGATTTATCACTGTAATTAGACTGGCTAGAAGATGAATAAGGAAGGTAGTAAAGTAAAAAAAACGTATCAGGGCATTCTGCAAGAAAACCCTTTCCTTTGAGAAGGACCCAGAGCAGGATTTTAAGCCCCAGTGACAGGAAATTAAATTAGTCCATCTTCCTAAAAGAATACGTCAATAGTACATGACTAGTTGAGTTGAGCTCAGTGAATTCAGAAAAGAAATGGTGTTCTGTGTTCTGAGTTGAGATTTATTTAGGGAGACTCAGGCTTTAGGTCATTATCATTCCTTTGTTTTTATTGTTTTGGAGAGCTCAGAAAATATAGGGAGCTGTAGCAGAAGCAGCTGAACATAATGGTTAGCCTGCTGCAAGCTTTCTTTTTCTTAAATGACTTGGGGCCACATTGTTTTGGTAGGTAAAAGCTGGACAGCTCTGCCTTCTCCAGGGTATGTGATGCAGAGGAATCAGCTCTCTCCACTGACCTGTTCTCCACCCGCCGCCTTAGATTTCTTACTCCTCAGGTCTAGGATCTTGTCTACCCATCCCATGGGTTTCAGCACAGGCCTCCCCAAAGGAGGCTCAGGGGGCTGGGGTTTGAGTTTGGCATCGTGACAGCTTTTGCAAGTCTCTGTTGAAATGGAGGGAAAAGTAAGCCATAGCTTACTAAGTAAGACATAGCCGTAGCTTCAGGGCTGTTCCCCTGGAAAAGAAAAGGAGACGCAGTAAGCAGACTGGTCTCTCTAACATCTTGTTCCTGCTTCTTATCTGGCAAAAATCTAAAGCTTCTAGAAAGTGATGAATGAAGGCCAGCCTTTTACATAGTTTTCTTTCAATGACTTGAGATTACTTCTGACTGAACACTGGTTAGGTGTTTGGATCTCAGTTTAATCTGATTTGTGTAGGATGATGACCACAAACTGAGCAAGAGAAAATGTTAGTCTGGTGAGGTTTAATACATAAAATTAGGGCTCACTGGTAATCTCTGGAGTGACCCTTTGACAAGGGTTTTGGATGAATCTGTATTCATTAATGTTAATCCTCTTTGTATTAGTTCACAAAGTACTTCTACCCTTTGTAAGTGCCACTTAGTCTCACAATCATCCAAAAGAAGGAGAATTATCCCTATTTTACAGATTTTACACAAAATCGTTTCAGAGAGAGTGAAAGGTCTTCTGGGTCTTCATTCCAGACAATACTATTTTATTACATGTAACAACCTGATGAAGCATGAAAAGTAACTTTTTATGTTTCCATGTGCTTAACTACAGAACAATTTTTTAAGAACTATCAATGGAAGAACATAATAAAACTCTATTATTATTTATACTGATTAACCGTTAGTGTATATGTCTAAACTGGCCCATCACTGCTTCACATTCTCCCACCCTTTTGTTGGCAGGGAATAGGTCACTCTCACAACTATAAAGGATATTGTGAATCACTCCTTTAAGTATCTATTAAAATTACAAATGCATATATCCTGTGATCCAGCAGTTGTAGTTCTCAAAATTTATCCTCGCTGATATACTTCCCCACATATGAAAGGATATGGGTCTAGGATTTTCGCTGTAAAATATTAGAAGCAGCTTAAGTGCTGAAGAAGTGGTTAAATAAATTATGAGGCTTCCATAGAGTAGGATATTTTGCTGCTGTTGTAAAAAATAAGGTAGCTCTACTTTTACTCAGGGAACAAACTCCAAGATATGCTTTTCAGTGGGAAAAAGCAAGATGCAGGACACTGTATTACTGGGTATAATGTAACTATGCTTGTGTGAAAAGGGAGAAGGTTAAGTAAGTATGAATTAATACATATTTGCTTGTTATGCATAAACTTGTTTGGGAAGACTAAAACTCTCATAACACTTGCCTTGTGGGTAGGGATCTGGATGGCTAGAGAACAGGTAAGGGAGAGAGACCTGTCATGGAAGGGCCTTTTGAGTCAAGAATCATGTGAAGTACCTAGTTTTTTAGAAACCCTGCACTGAGGTTTTTGGGAGTTTGAGGTCCTTATATGTACCTCTTTTACTCTGATCTGCTTGCTCTCTGCCTTCCCAGAGGACCCATTTAACCATACTTTCTTTTCCTTGAGTTTTCTGGCACCAAATGAAGTTCTCTTTTTTGTTTTTACTTAAAAACGTTAACACCTATTTTCTTATTTGCATTCATATTGTATTAAATTTATTGACTGTAAAGTGCTTTCTTTGTAATGCATTTCATCACGTCCTCATTTATTTGAAGGCATTTTGTACAAGCCATAGTTAGTGATTTTAGAATGACAAATTATTATTGGCACAAGATAGGAAACTAAACAGTATAAGTTAGTGTATGGTAAAAAGTGCTTTTTCTTTCTCTAGACCTCCAAGTCCCCTATATACATAATTCCCCTGATAAGACTGCCACTGTTGCCACTTTTACTTGTATACTTCTAATAATATTGTGTGTAAATCAAACATAAACATGCTTATATCCCCTTCTTACACATGGTGTAAACTATACTATAGACACTGTTCCTCATCTACTTTTTGCATTTAACAATCTGTCTTGGTATAGGATTACATTCAGATTAGCACATCCTTTCGGTAACTGCATAGGATTCCATTGTATATATTAAATAATTAATCAACACCCTCTTGATAAGAATTGATGTCATCCATAATCTAGAGCTACCACAAATGATATTGTGACAAATAACCTTGTATCTATAGGATAATTTCTTAGAAAATACAACTGCTAGGTCAAAAGGGGAGTATGTGCATTTAAAATTTTGATAGATCCAAATTTTCTATGCAAAGGTTATAGTAGTTCAGCAGGATATAAGATTACCCAGGCTTTTAAAAGGTTTCCAGCTGCCCAGACTGTTGTATAAGATACAATATTGGTTGAATATTGAGGATAAGCTAGTCAACAGTGTTGGTAGACTAGAGTTTTTATTTGTCCCACTGAAGCTGGTTAAGATCTGATGGGGAAATACAGCATGTAGTAAAGTTATTAAATGTCACCATCAGAAGGCTACATTAACATGAAGGTGACTTGGGTGTGTCAGCTGCTGTTGAACAGCCCCTATGACAACTGTGTTGTCCTTACTTTTACTTTTTTTTTTTATAGGACCTTAGCATCTTAAAACACTTTGGATTCATAGCCCTCAAGATTGACACGGTCCGATTCATCATGTCAAAATTAAAAAGCTCAGAGTCAGTCAGGGTGGTGGTCCGATGTAGGCCCATGAATGGCAAGGAAAAGGCCGCTTCGTATGACAAGGTTGTGGATGTGGACGTGAAGCTGGGGCAGGTGTCTGTGAAGAACCCCAAAGGAGTGGCCCATGAAATGCCCAAGACCTTCACTTTTGATGCAGTCTATGACTGGAATGCCAAGCAGTTTGAACTGTATGATGAGACATTTCGGCCACTTGTGGACTCCGTCCTCCAGGGTTTCAATGGTACCATTTTTGCCTATGGACAAACTGGGACTGGGAAAACCTATACAATGGAAGGTGTCCGTGGTGACCCTGAAAAAAGAGGGGTCATCCCTAACTCGTTTGATCACATCTTTACCCATATTTCTCGATCCCAGAATCAGCAGTACCTGGTCAGGGCTTCTTACTTAGAGATTTACCAGGAGGAGATTCGAGATCTGCTCTCAAAGGATCAGACCAAAAGGCTTGAGCTCAAAGAGAGGCCTGACACTGGAGTGTATGTGAAAGACCTGTCTTCCTTTGTCACCAAGAGCGTGAAGGAAATAGAGCATGTGATGAATGTGGGGAACCAGAACCGCTCTGTCGGTGCTACCAACATGAACGAGCACAGTTCGCGTTCTCATGCAATTTTTGTTATCACTATTGAGTGCAGTGAGGTGGGTCTTGATGGAGAAAACCACATCCGTGTAGGGAAATTGAACCTTGTAGATCTTGCTGGTAGTGAACGGCAAGCCAAGACTGGTGCACAAGGGGAAAGATTAAAAGAAGCAACCAAGATCAACCTGTCCCTTTCGGCCTTGGGTAATGTCATCTCTGCCCTCGTGGATGGCAAAAGCACTCACATTCCATATCGGGACTCCAAGCTCACCAGGCTCCTCCAAGATTCTCTCGGTGGCAATGCTAAAACTGTGATGGTGGCCAATGTGGGGCCTGCCTCTTACAATGTAGAAGAGACTCTGACCACTCTGAGATATGCCAACCGTGCCAAAAACATTAAGAACAAGCCAAGGGTCAATGAGGACCCTAAGGATGCCCTCCTTCGAGAATTCCAGGAAGAGATAGCCCGGCTCAAAGCCCAGCTGGAAAAACGGTCCGTTGGCAGGAGGAAGAGGCGAGAGAAGCGGAGGGAAGGTGGTGGCAGCGGTGGGGGTGGGGAGGAGGAGGAGGAGGAGGGAGAGGAGGGTGAGGAGGAAGGGGATGATAAAGATGATTACTGGCGGGAACAGCAAGAAAAACTGGAGATTGAAAAGCGGGCCATTGTAGAGGACCACAGCTTGGTTGCAGAGGAAAAGATGAGGCTGCTGAAGGAGAAAGAGAAAAAAATGGAGGACCTGCGGCGGGAGAAGGACGCTGCTGAGATGCTGGGCGCCAAAATCAAGGTACTGTACCTTCCTTCCACCCCTTCTGTCAGTGCTTTTTGTTTTATCAAAAAAATTATAGGAGGGATCATGTCTCTCTTGGTTTTGCATTCCCAGCAGCTCCATAGTATCCAGTGTCCAATGAACGTCTCTTGAGTTGAACTGAAATAAAGAAAAACAATTTCTTCAAATTAAAAAAATATTGAATTCATGGTAAGAATAATTATTGCATACATATGTGCAAGGTATATAAAAAACAGCGATGAACTAACACCCATGAACTCCCCACCCAGTGTAAGAAATAGAGGAGCATCTGTATCTTTCAAAGCTCTTTGTGTTCCCTTCCCCCAGGGGGAACCATTAATCTGGATTTGGTGTTTGTTTCCATACTTTTCTTTATAGTTTTCCATATGTGTATGTATCTCTAAATGAAAGACAGTTTTAGTTTCACATGATTTTTTACTTTTATTTAAATGGATCCCATTGCTGCAATTTGCCATTATTTGTTCAGCATTATGTTAATGAGGTTTATCCATCTTAGTGCCTGTAGCTATGATTCATTCATTATTACTGTTCTGAGAATTCCATGGTATTCCATTCCTCTGAGAGTGTGGGTTTCATGTTTTGCTGTGAGCATTCTTGTTCTTGGCTCCAGGAGAACATGTATGTGCAAGAATTTCTCTGGCACTGTTAGGTCTCAAGTTATGTGCAGCCTCAATTTTACTAGGTAATGATAAGTCATTTTCTGAATGGCTATATAAATTGAAGCTTCTACTAGCAGAGTATGAGTTCTGGTTACTCCTCATTCTTACCAACATTTGTGATTATCAGACTTTAACTTTTGTATATCTGGTGGATATCTCATCATAGTTTTAATATTTAGCATCCTGATTACACAAGATACAGAACAATTCCATCATACCCCAAATGCTTCCTAACCCCTCCCCTAACCTGCAGCTCCTGTGTGTCAGTGGCTGAGTAGTATTCTAGAGTGTTGAGAAGAATATGTATCCTGTTGCTTTTGGGTGTAGAGTTCTGTAGATATCTATTAGGTCCATCTGTTGTAGTGTGTTGTTCAGTGCCTCTGTGTCCTTACTTATTTTCTGTCTGGTGGATCTGTCCTTTGGAGTGAATGGTGTGTTGAAGTCTCCTAAAATGAATGCATTGTATTCTATTTCCTCCTTTAATTCTGTTAGTATTTGTTTCACATATGCTGCTGCTCCTGTGTTGGGTGCATATATATTTATAATGGTTATATCCTCTTGTTGGACTGAGCCCTTTTTCATTATGTAATGTCCTTCTTTATCTCTTGTGACTTTCTTTGTTTTCAAGTCTATTTTGTCTGATACTAGTACTGCAACAGCTGATTTTTTCTCCCTATTGTTTGCAAGAAATATATTTTTCCATCCCTTGACTTTTAGTCTGTGCATGTCTTTAGGTTTGAGGTGAGTCTCTTGTAAGCAGCATATAGTTGGGTCTTGGTTTTTTATCCATTCAGTGACTTTATGTCTTTTGATTGGTGCATTCAGTCCATTTACATTTAGGGTGATTATCGATAGGTACGTGCTTATTGCCATTTCAGTCTTTAGATTCGTGATTACCGAACGTTCCAGGTTACTTTCCTTACTATCTAAGAGTCTAACTTAACTCACTTAGTATGCTGTTACAAACAAAATCTAAAGGTTCTTTTCTATTTCTCCTTTCTCTTCCTCCTTCATTCTTTATATATTGGGTATCAAATTCTGTACTTTTTGTTTATCCCTTGATTGACTTTGGGGACAGTCAATGTAATTTTGCATTTGTCTCGCAATCAGCTGCTCCACCCTCCCTACTGTGGTTTTACTACCTCTGGTGACAGCTATTCAACCCTAGGAACACTTGCATCTATAGCAGTCCCTCCAAAATAGACTGCAGAGATGGTTTGTGTGAGGTAAACTCTCTCAGCTTTTGCTTATCTGGAAATTGTTTAATCCCTCCTTGAAATTTAAATGATAATCTTGCTGGATAAAGTAATCTTGGTTCCAGTCCCTTCTGTCCCTTCTGCTTCATGGCATTAAATACAGCATGCCACTCCCTTCTGGCCTGTAAGGTTTCTGCTGAGAAGTCTTATGTTAGCCTGATGGGCTTTCCTTTGTATGTGATCTTATTTCTGCCTCTGGCTGGTTTTAACAGTCTGTTCTTATCCTTTATCTTTCCCATTTTAATTACTGTGTGTCTTTGTGTTATCTTCCTTGGGTCCCTTGTATTGGGAGATCTGTGGATCTCCATGGCCTGAGAGACTATCTCCTTCCCCAGATTGGGGAAGTCTTCAGCAATTACCTCCTCAAAGACACTTTCTATCCCTTTCTCTCTCTTCTTCTTCTTCTGGTATCCATATCATGTGAATATTGTTCCACTTGGATTGGTCACACAGTTCTCTCAATATTCTTTCATTTTTAGAGATCCTTTTTTCACTCTGTGCCTCAGCTTCTTTGTATTCCTCTTCTCTAGTTTCTATTTCATTTTTTGTCTCCTCCACCGTATCCAACCTGCTTTTAATACCCTCCATCGTGCTCTTCAACGATTGGATCTCCGACCTGAATTCATTCCTGAGTTCTTGGATGTCTTTCCGTACCTCCATTAGAATGTTGATCATTTTTATTTTAACTCCCTTTCAGGAAGAGTCACGAGGTCCATATCATTTAAATCTTTCTCGGGAGTTGTATTGATTTTACTCTGGACAAGGTTCCTTTGGCGGTTCATGTTTGTATATGGCGCCCTCTAGTGTCCAAAAGCTCTATTCTGGAGCTGCTCAGTCCCTGAAGCAATGTTGCGGGTCGCAGGGGAGCGCTACTGGTACCTGCCGGGAGGAAAGAGCTGTTCCCTGTCTCCCGGCTGCTGTGCCTGTCTCCACTGCCTGAGCCAGTGGGCTGTTCACACAGGTATGTTTTTGTCCCAGAGCAGCCGGATATGGATCCTTGCTTTCCACAAGCAGCCAGAATCCCAGTCTCCCCAGGAACTCTGCCTGTATTAACTTTCCTACCCGGTAGTCATGCGAGTCTCGTGGAAGCACCATGAAATGTAGGTTTGTGCTCCCAGAGCAGATCTGCGGAGCTAGGTATTCAGCAATCCTAAGCCTTCCACTCCCTCACTGCTCCATTTCTCTTCCTCCCGCCAGTGAGCTGGGGTGGTGGAGGGGCTCGGGTCCCGCGGAGCCACAGCTCTGGTACATTACCCCGTTTGGTGAGGTCTGCTCTTTTCTCTAGGTGTGTGCAGTCTGGCACCATCCTCTTTCCTGTTGCTCTCTCAATATTAGTTGCACCAATTAAATTCTCTAATTGTATCCAGTTTTAGGAGGAAGCCTCTGTCTTTCCTCTCACGCCGCCATCTTTCTGATGTATACCTTTTATCCACCTTTGAGGTTTTTGAACTGACCCCTGATTGCTTTTCCAACTTCATGTATCACCGTTCCCTACCCTATTCTCTCTCTCACACACAAAATTTTCTTAGTTAATTCCTAGTTTTACTTCAACACTGTGCACATGTCCCCTGAGACAGAAAGCTTTCCCTGACTCCCTCCAAAAGTCAAAATTCTCTCCCTTCAGTGTGGCTCTCCCATTCAGCCCTGTCTTTTCCTAATGATGATATCTGAATATGTAGGGTAAGAGCCTGCTTACTTGTCTGTGGCTGTCTGCAGACTCTCAGCTTTGTGATTTATACTCACAGTTGCATCCCCAGTACCTAGCACATAGGATGTTGCTTACTATGTCATAGGTGGGATCAAGTCTTTGTACAAACAAACCAAAAACTATTTTTTGAAAAAAGCTGCAATTCATGTATGTCTGCAGAAGCTGACTCCTCAGTGTTTCTAATTTCAAGCCCCCAGTGAAGTCGTCTCAGCCCCACTCACCCCAGTGATGGGCAGGGCACATCTGAGCACAGTGTTTGTTTGCCCAGAGTTCAGTGCCTTTGGCTCAGTCTTGAGCCCCTTGTCTTTAAAGGCTTCCCTGTGAGGAGGTATCTTCTAAGGGAGACCGTTCACAAGATGGATTCTCCTTTTTTCTCTTGCAGGCCATGGAGAGTAAACTGCTTGTTGGAGGAAAAAATATAGTAGATCATACAAATGAACAGCAGAAAATCCTGGAGCAGAAACGGCAGGAAATTGCAGAGCAGGTAGCTTTTCATTCCTTTGTGGGGAGAATGGTACGGGGTAAGGGACTCACCAGGAGCACCCAGCCCTGTGTGCTTGTCTAGGCATTCTTCTAGGCAAGCTGATGAACTTTGTAATGTTTCTCAGAAACGTCGAGAAAGAGAAATCCAGCAACAGATGGAAAGTCGAGATGAGGAGACCTTGGAACTTAAAGAGACTTACAGCTCACTGCAGCAAGAGGTGGACATCAAGACCAAAAAACTCAAAAAGGTACAAAAGAGGCCAAGAAGAGGTGTCCTGAGACTTGAGGGAAAGGGGAAACTTTTGTCTGGAGGTCGCCCTCCTCACCTGCCTCTCCCCTTGGTTCCAGCTCTTTTCCAAGCTTCAGGCAGTGAAGGCAGAGATCCACGACCTCCAGGAAGAGCACATCAAGGAGCGTCAGGAGCTGGAGCAGACTCAGAATGAGTTCACCAGGGACCTGAAACTCAAGTAAGTTCTGGGCCTTTCGTGGTATCCCCAGCCACTTGCCAAGTTATTGTTTGTCAAGTAAGAAATATGCCCCTGAGGACAGGGCTGCTGTCTACTTCTCACCCACTCATCTGCCACCTTTTCTGTCTTCTATTTATTCCCAAGGAAGTCAGTTTCTGTCTCTGGTTCCCATCTGTTGACTGATGATTTCACCAGATGGTCTCCAAATTTCCTTCCACCCTACCTTAATGAAGCTGTTAAAGGCTCTGCCTCACCTCTATCTATTGACAAAAGGAAAACTTTTATTAAGTAGATTTTTCTCAATTGTATAATGGACGCCCAAATACTCCTCACCCAGATTCAATGATACTCTTTTGTCATCTGTCTTTTCATAAAAATATTTTAAAGCAAATCTTACCTCATGCTGTATCACTCCTACATACATACATACCTGACCACAATACTATTTTTAAAAAAGTATGTTTTTACTCAGCCATAAAAAAGAAGGAAATGTTGCCATTTGCATCAGGATGGACCTAGAGAGTATCATGCTAAGTGAAATAAGCCAGACAGGGAAATACAAATACCATTCATTTCACTTATATGAGGAACCTAAAAACAGACAAAAAAGAAATAGACCCACAAATACAGATGACAGACTGTTGATTACCATAGGGAAGGGGGTAAATAGGTGAAGGGGATAAAGAGGTACAAAGTAGAAATTACCAAATAATTTAGACACAGGAATGAAAGTACAACATAGAGAATTTAACCAATTACTACTGTAATATCTTGGTATGATAATGGGGTAACTACATCTATTATGGCGAGCATCTAATAATGTATACAATTATCCAGTCACTATGTTGTACATCTGAAACTGACGTAATGTTGTATATCAACTTCATTGCAATAAAAATAAAAGGAGGGTTAAAAGAATATTTTATTGAGATATAATTCACATGCCATATATTCACCTATTTAAAGTATACAAGTCAGTTTTAAAAAAAATACATGTTTACAGGGTTGTAAAACCATCATCACACCTCACACTAGTTAGGACAGCCACCATCCAAAAGACAAGGAACAATAAATGTTGGCGAGGATGTGGAGAAAGGGGAACTCTCCTACACTGCTGGTGGGAATATAAATTAGTTCACCCATTGTGGAAAGCAATGTGGAGGTTCTTCAAAATGCTCAAAATAGAAACACCATTTGACCCAGGAATTCCACTACTAGGAATTTACCCAAAGAAAACAAGATCTCAGATTCAAAAAGACATATGCTCCCTTACATTTATCGCAGCACTGTTTACAATAGCCAAGATGTGGAAGCAACCTAAGTGTCCATCAGTAGGTGAATGGATAAAGAACATATGGCACATATACACAATGGAATATTACTCAGCCATAAGAAGAAAATAAATCCTACCATTTGCAACAACATGGATAGAGCTAGAGGGTATTATCCTCAGTGAAATAAGCCAGGCAGAGAAAGACAAGTACCAAATGACTTCCCTCATTTGTGGAGTATAACAATAAAGCAAAACTGAAGGAACAAAGCACCAGACTCACAGACTCCAAGAAGGGACTAGCGGTTACCAAAGGGAAGGGGGTGAAGAGGGAGAAAAAAGGGTAATAAGGGGTGTTATGATCCGCACAAATAACGTAGAGGGGGTGTGGGGAAGGCAGTATAGCACAGAGAAGACAAGTAGTGACTCTATAGCATCTTACACGCTGATGGACAGTTACTGCAATGGGGTATGTGTTGGGGGGGACTTAATAATGTGGGTGAATGTAGTAACCACAATGTTGCCCATGTGAAACTTTCATAAGATTGTATATCAGTGATACCTTAATAAAAAAAGAAAAAGCCATCATCACACTCTAACTTTAGAACATTTTTGTCCCTCCCCGACAAAACCTCAATACCAATTAGCAGTTACTACTCACTGATACTCCCCCAGCCCTAAATAACTACTAAGTCTGCTTTCTGTCTCTATAAATCTGCCTATACATTTCATATAAATGGTATACAATATATGGTCTTTGTGACTGGTTTCTTTCACTTAACATGATGTTTACAAGGATCATCCATATTGTAGCATGTCAGTAATTCATTCATTTCTGTGGCTGAGTAATACTGTGTTGTTTGGATGTACCACATTTCATTTATCCATTTATCAGTTGATGGACATTTGGGTTGTTTCCAGTCTGGTTATTATGAATACTGCTGCTCTGAACATTCATGTACAAGTTGTTATATGGACATGTTTTCATTTCCCTGGAATGTATACCTACATATGGAATTGCTAGGTTTTGTGGTAACTATTTAACTTTTTGAGGAATTGCCAGATTGTTTTCCAGAATAGCTGTGTTATTTTACATTTCCACCACCAATTTCTCTACATCTTTGTTGACACTTGTTACTGTCTTTTTTATTATGGCCATCCTAATACGTATGAAATAGTATCTTATTGTGGTTTTGATTTGCATTTCCCTAATGACTACAGATGTGAAGCACCTTTGCATGTGCTTATTGGCCATTTGTATATCTTCTTAAGAGAAATGTCTGTTCAAATCCTTTGCCCATTTTTAAATTAGGTTATTTAAGTTGGGTCTTTTTATTACTGAGGTTTAAGATTTCTTTATATATTCTGGATACAGGTCCTTTATCAGGCATATGATTTGCAAATATTTTCCCCCATTCCAGAAGATGAAAAATGGGTTGTCTTGTCACTTTGATGGTATTTTGTTTTCAGCACAACAGATTTTAATTCTGATGTAGCCCAATTTATCTATTTCTTTTATAGCATGGATTTTTGGTGTTGCATCTAAATTTGCCTATTTTGGACATTGTATACAAATTTATAAATGGAAGAATGTGGCCTTTTGTGACTGGCTTCTTTAACTTGATAAAAATGTTTTCGAGGGTTGTCCATGTTGTAGCATGTATCAATACTCTATTCTTTTTTATTAAGATATCATTGATATACACTCTTATGAAAGTTTCACAAGGAAAACAGTGTGGTTATTACATTCACCCTTATTATCGAGAACTTCATTCTTTTTTATGGCTAAATAATATTATATAAATAGACCACATTTTATTTATCCATTCATTAGTTGACTGACATTTGGGTTGTTTCTACTTTTTAGCTATTATGAATAATGCTGCTATTAACATTTGTGTACAATTTTCATTGTGGACTTATGTTTTCAGTTATCTTACCTAAGAGTATTACAGGTTTAGGTCTTACATTTATATCTGTGATCCATTTTGAGTTAATTTTTGTGTATGGTCTAAGGTAGGATTGCAAATGTGTTCTTCTACATGTGGATATTCAGCTGTACCTTTTGTTGAAAGGATCTTCTCTCATTGTCTTTGCACCTTTCTTGAAAATCAGTTGACTATGAATGAAAGAATTTATTTCTGAACTCAGTACTGTTCCTTTGATCTACATGTCTGTCCTTGCACCGTAACCACACCATCTTGATAACTGTAGTTTTGTACTAAGTTTTAAAATGAGGAACTGTGAGTCCTCCAACTTTGTTGTTCTTTTTCAAGGTTGTTTCAGGCTATTCAGGGTGCCTCGCATTTTCATATAAATTTAAAAATTAGTTAGCTTGTCAATTTCTGCAAAAAAAGCAGCTGGCTCTGGTGAATCTATAGATCAATTTGGAGAGTATTGCCATCTTAACACTATTAAATGTTCTGACCCATGAGCATAGGATGTCTTTCCATTTCTTTAGATCTTCTTTAATTTCTATCAAGAATGTTTTGTAGTTTTTAGTGCATAAGCCTTTGCACTTCTTTTATTAAATTTATATGTAAGTATTTTATTTTTTAATGTTATTTTATATGGAATTGTTCTATTAATTTTATTTTCAGTGTTTATTTTATATATATATATATATAGAAACACAATTGATTTTTGTATACACAATGACATTTTTCCAACTAACAAAATTGGCATTAAGTTTCTAAGTATTATCTTGTACCCTGTCCACTAAGGTTTTCTTGGTTTGCCTTTTTTTGTTTTTTTTAATTTTGGTATCATTAATGTAAAATTACTTGAACAACATTATGGTTACTAGACTTCCCCTATTATCAAGTCTCCACCACATACCCCATTACAGTCACTGTCCATCAGCATAGTAAAATGCTATAGAATCATTACTTGTCTTCTCTGTGTTATACTGCCTTTCCCGTGTACCCCCTTCCCCCGTTACATTATCTGTGCTAATCATAATGCCCCTTTTTCACCCTTATCCCTCCCTTTCCACCCGTCCTCCCCAGTCCCTTTCCCTTTGGTAACTGTTAGTCCATTCTTGGGTTCTGTGAGTCTGCTGCTGTTTTGCTCCTTCAGTTTTTTCTTTGTTCTTATATTCCACAGATGAGTGAAATCATTTGATACTTGTCTTTCTCCGCCTGGCTTACTTCACTGAGCATAATATCCTCTAGCTCCATCCATGTTGTTGCAAATGGTAGGATTTGTTTTCTTCTTATGGCTGAATAATATTCCATTGTGTATATGTGCCATATGTTCTTTATCCATTCACCTACTGATGGACACTTAGGTTGCTTCCACATCTTGGCTATTGTAAACAGTGCTGCGATAAATGTAAGGGAGCATATGTCTTTTTGAATCTGAGATCTTGTTTTCTTTGGGTAAATTCCTAGTAGTGGAATTCCTGGGTCAAATGGTGTTTCTATTTTGAGCATTTTGAAGAACCTCCACATTGCTTTCCACAATGGGTGAACTAATTTATATTCCCACCAGCAGTGTAGGAGAGTTCCCCTTTCTCCACATCCTCGCCAACATTTATTGTTCCTTGTCTTTTGGATGGTGGCTGTCCTAACTAGTGTGAGGTGTGATGATGGTTTTACAACCCTGTAAACATGTATTTTTTTTAAAACTGACTTGTATACTTTAAATAGGTGAATATATGGCATGTGAATTATATCTCAATAAAATATTCTTTTAACCCTCCTTTTATTTTTATTGCAATGAAGTTGAT